GAGCCGGAGCGCGGGGCCCGGTGGCCGCCCCCTCGGAGCGAGCGGGCTCCTGTGGTGGCCGCTCCTGGCGTTTTTAGTAGCTGCTTCTCCTCTCTGCCTCACTTAGTGCGTGTGTTCCTCGGCGTTGCTAGTAAACGGGTAAAGCTGGAGCACAAGCCTAGATTTTTTTTTTTCTCCCCTATGTGTATTCTAAATTCACCTCAGTAATAGATGCAGGTAATAATTATGCTCTAGATAGGCCTCTCACCACCCCCCACCCCGTGTTGGAGCAGTTTATTTCCAAAGCTGTAGGTAGAAACCCTGTGTGGTAGTTCTCACCCTTATATATATGTGTGTATATATATATATATTTATATATACACATATATATTTTTTTTTTCAGATGTGGTCTTTCAGCAGAAAGTTAACCACCCTGCAGAAAATACCGTGAACACTGAAACATTGTTTTGCCTCATTTCTAAAGTGACCCATAACTGCATAGTAGAAAACTGCAGGGTGAAGCAGAGGAAGAGGGGAGGAAAGATATATATGTTTTCTTCCTCACATGTAAATTAATCTTTGCTCATAGCAACTATGTGTCATACAATTAAAAAAAATATATACACATGAAACCTAGCAACTACACCTCTGTACTTCCTATTGTCACTCCATGTGAAATTGCATAGGGGAGAAAGGAGAACCCCACCAGTCAATTTTGTAGCAATCCCTTGAAGTATATAATAATTTAAGGCAAAAACTCTTTGAATTTCAACTTTCTCTAGCAAGAGGTCAGACTTTTAAAATACAATAAACAGTGTCTTTTTATGACTTGGGATTCCCCCCCCCACCTTAGCTACTGCAATCTAAAACTTAATGTTTCATTGTGCTTGTTAGCTTTTTTTTTTTTTCTTTTAGGGATTCCTCAATGCTAAAAAGACTTCATACTTCAAATATTTGTTCTTTTATATTACATAGAAAATAGAATAGTTTTATTCCTTCCACTGTAACCTCCCAAGCACACTTTAAAAAGCTTCAGTAGTGCACTTGTGAAGCCTTGCTGTTCTGAACCAAAAAGGTTGTGAATCTTCATTTGTCTAGTGATTTTTATTTTATTAATCACAAATGGCATGTATCTTATGCTAGGAAAGAAGCCAGCTTCTAGAAGGAGGAGGAAGATATTACTGTAGTTGTATTACTGTGGGTTAGATTTGGCATTATTAGGTCATGGGCATTTTACTGCTGCGTTATTGCTCTTCTGTTCCAAGATTCTATAAACAGAGGAGCCTTTTGCTAACATGAGGCTTTGAGTTACTGTGTTAAATGAACTGTATTCATTTATTTCTGCAGCCTTCTAAATGTAAGGCTGGCTTTTATCATGTATTATTTTTAAAATAATTTTGAAGTGCTTTGTTCCCGATGATGTAAGAATGTATCTGTGTAGTATTGATCTTTACTCTCGTGTTGAATTCATAGAGTACTAGGACTGCAGTAGCAAGGCGTATGTGTATGTGTATTGACACAAATGTAATATACAATTCAGAAGGTAGGCTGCTAGGTTGTTTAAGGGCTTTAATTCATGGAGTTAGAAAATGTACTTTCTACAGGCAGAGCGTGGATCACACAATTCCTTTTGTATCTCCTAACCTGTCCCATAGTTTACTGTCACTTTAACCTTTTTCAGTATCCCTGGGTTTCCAATGCCTTGATCTAATCCACGATTTAATCTCGAGCTGTTGGCAAACTACAGATGTTTCTTTATCAGGTTCCTGATGAAAGTGATACTATGTTGAATATTATATGCTATCCTAAGGCATCGTGCCTGCTATTTTCTCATAGTGATTTTGACTGTGTTGATGAAAATGAGGAATAATTCCCCATGAAAGCCAGATCTAAAAATTGAATTCCCTTTGCTTTGTGTAATTATTGGGAGATTACTTTGAAATCTGTTTTGTTACTGTTCATGATATTGGCTCTCCTGCTGCATGAGCAAAGCATAAATTGGTGTATAGTAACGTGAAGAAGTATCGATGCAAATTCTTATGCTCAGACTTACACTTGGAAGATCAGTGTTCCCTTCTGTAGTGTTTGTTTATGAAAGATCATTCCCACCTTTCACATGTAAAATTATTACCTCATGGTATTTCAGTGCATTTATGAACTTAAGTTTTTTTATTTTGGTTTAACTGTTTTAATAGGACTTACCACTAATCATTTAGTTATGTTGGACTACGTGCTTAATACTCTTTCTAGAGAAATTTAATAGTAATTAAATGTTTCTCTCTTTTTTTTTTTTATTCCCCAAAGTCCCATCATCCTACCTCGGTGGATGGCTTGGGCTCTTGAATAGTTCAAGAGTCTTGGATGATCACACTTTATGCAAAATCTGGAATCTTCCTGCCTGGACTCCTTCTCATATTTTAAGGGTAACTACTTGTTTGTTTTATAAAATCATGTCTTATGAACATAATTCATGTTTGGATACTCATTGTCACATCTTGTTCTGTTTTCTTTATTTTTATTTTTATAATGTTCTAATTTAGTTACAGTTCAGTTCTACTATACGGGTTTCTAGATTTAGTAACTTTTGATCATGTGCCTGCTTTTTCTCAGTACTGTTCTTCCTTAGCTTAAATGATTTCAGGTTGTTCTTCTTGCTAAAGACATCTATCATAAATCCCTGAAAATACCTGCTAAACACACTTGCATTAAAAGCTTTATTTGGCAACGTCAACCATATCCAACTTGAGGGGGTGATGCAAGAGAGGAGTGACAGAGCTTTTTAAGATACATCTTTTCTTCTGACTGTGTTACTCAGTACCTTTTCTCATATAAGCTTCTAGTGATAGATATCAGCCTCAAGAATATGTCATTTACTGTTGTAAATGGCCCAGAGCCACTTGTTTTAACCTGTGGAAAGTACATATCCTGAAACGGAGGATTCAGCTGTGGTGGTCTGTAAAGTATTGGTAACAGCTTTGTTTCATAAAATAAAAAGTGGGTAGGGGACTTTCTGAATTGTCTTCAGTTCAGTAGGCTTCCAGATCCAGTTAGACCTGGTAAGAGTAGTTGGTTCTTTTCCTACCTAAGGTTTTAACAGAGGCAAAACTTTTTCTTAAGTGCTTTGTAAACAACAATTCAGCCCTGAAGTATTACTGTAGGGTATATATTTGTTCTCTGCTTCTGCAAATAGTGAAATGACAGTGGCAAGGTTATGAATTCCAGACTTCATTCTATGTTAACGTTAGTCTTCCCCTCATTCCTTTCCTCTACTTAATTAATGAGTACTCCTCAGCCTATTTTTAATTTTCAGATGTGGGAAATAATGTTATCCTTAAGTATGTGAGGGTTTTGTTTTTGTCCCCACTTCTTTTTTTCCTCTTTCTAAATAGTAGATACCTAAATAGTAGTCTTGCTTCTCTGTTCCAGATGCATTGGTAGGAAGAGAGACACTTATGTGCATTGTGTGTCAGGTTTTAGTGACCAAAAAGCTAACATTTCCTGGCCATTTCTGACTCCTGTAACAAAGTTGTTACAGAGGAGCTTAGGTATTGGGAGTAGGCTGGTAGGACAGAACTCCTCCCTATATGCACACTTATAGCCACATGTGCCTTCTCAGTCAGTTACTCATCTCTGCAAAGTTGGGTGCAGGAGGCAGTGCGAAAAGATTAATTCAATTTTTCTATATTTTAAAATGTGTTTAGATGTGCGTTGCTTTGTAGTTTGGTATCCTTTTAATGTGTTTAATTTTCCTTCCCTCACTTCCTCTTAATTTTTACTAACAGCCAAGATGTGATGTTGTGGGGATCTCCAACATTTGCTGAGGACACCAGATCAAATACACTGTTCTGTGTAGTCTGTTGACAGCTTACTGTGTTACGTAAGTCATGTTTAAGTCATCAGTGATAAGTCCAGATGGGAAGAAAGGATTTATACCGTGTATGTTACTCGTATCTTTAGGTTTACCTTTTTCTGTGCAGCTTCCTGTACTTGGAGTACTAATCAAGACCCAGTCCACCATTTAATTAGAATCATTAATTAAATCTTGTTGCCTAATATATTGCCTATGCTGATTCTTTGAGGGGGAGGGGAAAGACTATCATTAAATATCATGTAGTATACATTAAATAATCCATTACCTGTGAGGATGTCTATAGACCTTTGTGATTCTTGTAGATAGGTGTGTGCTTATAAAAAGGAAAGGAAAGCGGGAAATCAAGTTATGAATTAGCTTGTCAGTCAATATCAGAAGTCTACAGTAATCCAAAGAGACTTCTAGCTGTCTTATCTGTTATGTACTTTATAACTGCTATGAGCCGTAGGAGACTCTGAAAGGAAACGAGTCAAATTATAATAGCAAGGTATCTCTAATTGCAGTGTTAATAAAGTTAGTATAGTTGCATTACTGGAAACTGGATGAGCAGCTTTCACTCAGGAGATGCTTATACGTGTTCAAATCTGGCATCCTATCTGTTGATAAACAGTCATTTATCACCTGAGACAGTCTTGGACACTCTGCCTTTATGAAGAGTCAAGCAAGCTTGAATTTAATAATATCATAAGAAGGAAAGCCAGAGGAGAGCACTATTGATCATATGATTTTGACCTCCTGCACATACTGCAGCCAAGTACTTTACTGGTGATCTTGCTATTTAAATTTATTCTTTAATGGTAGATGGTGTGGTAGTAATGGTAGATAAATAACTCTTGTAGTTGGCTGTGATGCTTGCTTTGTGCATGAAAAGTATTCCAGACAGTTTAACTGTGGCACTCATGCTTTATATGTTTGAAACTTTAGTGAAAATGAAGCTGTATGCATTACTGAGATAAAAAAATGTTTTATCCTGCTCTTGAAACATTTTGTACAAGGTGAGGAAGAGGAAACTAGTAAGTAGTTTTGCCAAACAGAAGTAATTAAGGGTTTTCACTTGCTGCATTCTTTGTGACCATTTCCAGCTGCACTTCCTAACCATGTGTCAGTGGCAGCTGTGCTGCAGTATCAGACCCTGTGACAGATGGAGCTGTGTTTTTCCTCTGAAATGGTGGCGCGAGTCCTGTATTGTCCACAACACTTTGCAATGTGAATGTTTCTTGGTAGCCTGGAACGTTGCTTCTGAGTAGCTGCAAGCTCTGACGAGGCCTGTTTGTTTGGTATTCTGTGCTGATTTTTCCAACAAGTGACGTGCCTCTTCTCTCCAAGTATTTTCAAACTTGGATACAGTCTAGGGTTACAGAGCACAGATGCTTCTTCCCAGCCTAGCAGGGAGAAGTTGCTATGAAATGTCCTCCACGGAACTTAAAGGAGCTGTGGAGCGTGCTTCAGGGACAGAGTCTCTGGTTTTAGGCTCCTTGGTGTTTTAGCGACATGGATGGAGAGTTTGACACTCCTTAACCTCAGCGGTTCACATTGCTTCCTTTTCTGCACGTATGAAAAATAATTAAGCATTAAAAACCATTCTACTGTAAAACACCTGTAACTAGGTTTGTGTTTATATAACAAGGAGAGGTGAGAGAAAGCCAGGAAAAAAATACTGAGATGTGGTATTCCTCATTGTTCTTTTTTTTTTTTTTAATGACAAAAAGATATATAAATAGAGGGACTTTATTTTTCTCTTTAATTTGGTTGCTGGACTTTTTTAGTTCAAGAGAAGCATAGCTAACATCTTGTTTTAATAAAGATACGTTTATATCTAGCATCTGAACTTGGCATAAACTTTTTGTTAATTGTATTATTTACAAATTACAGAGTTATCAGAATAGCATATTCCAGAATCCTGTTACTGATCAATCTGTTTTGAGATCTTGGCAAATTCCTGCAATTAGCCTGTAGCAAAAAGACTACATTTTCTGAATACTTCTTATATTTTAGTAAGTCTAACCTGTGCTTATCTGAACTGGTTGTGCGGTTGTCAGCTAACTGAATGGACCAACAACTGTACAGCAGTCAACAATGCAGAATTACTTGGGTATGGAAACATGTTTTTGTGTGTGCGTGTCTGTGTGTGTGTTTTGATTTTTTTGTTTGTTTGTTTGCTTGTTTGTTTTCACTAGTACCAAAAACTAAAGCGGAGAAAATGTTACATATTTAAACAGTATGATCAGTATTTTATATTCTAAAGCAATATAGTCAAAAGAAGAATATTTGATTAGTTGTGATTTTTTTTTTTAACACACATACTATTAAAGGGCAAGTTACTTGGGGAAATATGGAGTAGCTTGTTAAGGATATGACCCTGTCAAAAATTCTTACACTAGAAAATAAATCAAAAGGCCTGATAAAATGTAGATTAGCTGGTAACAAAGGGGCTTTGTATCTTTTGTAGGTCAGCAGCTGAGAGTGTTTGACACAACCGAAATTTAATGTCTCCTGTAGCAACCATGACACTAGTCATTTTTAAATGCACTGTAGCAGTGATATTCTGGTACCAAATCTTTTTCCAGATTTTTTTTTAATAATGTCTGAAATCATTATTTCTCACAGGGAGATTTAAGGATACTTACAGTTAGGCAAAAATCTCACTTAACAGGCAGAATTAAGGATCTTTCAAATATCAAGCAAATGTTTTAAAAAAATAGAGTGGAAAATCCATTAATTAGAATCATTTGAAGTCAGAATGAATAAGGTTTCTTAAACTTCATGGTTCAGAATAGGGTCGCATTAAAGCTTTGTTACATATTGCTAGAATTCTCTGGGACAATTTTTAATTTTAAGTTTGGGGAAGAAAGGGAAGGGTGTCTGCGTATATGAATATGAAATATTTAGTGTAATTGGACTACAATGCAGGTTTAAAAGTTAATCATTTCACTATAAGGTTTTTTTTTTCAAAATATGTGTTCTCCATCCTTTTTAAGTCTATTTACAGAATTTATACCAGCGTATCTTTTGACATACTGTCAATTGACATTATTCATATTTAAATGGATAAAAGTCTAATATTTTCTGTGTATAATATTTCATGTGTATAACGAAGCGTAAGTGTATTTTAAAAGGTATAATAAAAACTAGTGAAGTGGCAAAATCAAACTTTCTCAGTTTATGCGATGTGAGACTTGTTCCCTGTCTGATCTTAATTTAGCTCCTTTTCAAGTATGAATTTTGGTTTAATTATTATGTGCTTTAATTATGTTAGCGTGGGGAGAATCATAGTGTGCAGTGCATGGAAACAATGGTGCTTTGCAAACCTGTTTTGGTGTGTATTTTTGACTCTTTATGTGGTTATGCCTTAAGTAGTACACACTTAAGCACTGCTTAGAAAGAATAACCAATAATTGTGAGAATTTGTAGACGCTATTTAGGTGTCACTGGTATGTTTAGTTGTTAATAGATTTAGTATTATTTTTAATCTGAAGGCCAGCATAATTCTTGTTTTCCTTAGACTGTATGTGAAATTACCGGTAAAAAATAACAGTATTGTTCATAGCTTGATTGGGGATACCCGATTTTCCTGCTGCTTGCCCCAGCCAGGTACTTTGCGTAATTATACATAGTGCTTGAACTTCATGTCCCAATTATAATTTCTGCTGACTCTGTTTGCAGCTGAGTCTTCAATACTACCTGGTTCTATCTGTCCTAAAACGAATGTGAGGAAACCAATCTAAGTCTAAGACAAACCCATTGGCCTGTCTTTCTGATGTGTCTTACTGAGAAATACGGGCTGCTTGCTTTCTTCCTCTTCAGAGGAGTAGGGGTTCTCTAAGAGTCTAGTCCAGGCAGATGGATGTAGCCATGGAGCCCTTCAGTGCCTCCAACAAATCTGGAGAAATCCCAAAAGTAACAGAGGCTTTATCCCTGTGCCATCTCCTTGTCCCCAAAAGTCTAGCAACAGGCTAGCAGCTGGCAGCTGCAACCATCAGCTGAGCAGTTGCTGGCAGTATCCAGGGCTCACATGAAAAGGAAGCTGGGAGGCCTGTGCAGTGTGCGGAGTCTGGATCATTGTGCATGAAGGATCTGCCCCTAATCTGCCACTGGGTGTCTAATTTATGATTTTTGTTGTTGTTGTTTGGAAGGGATGTGTCTGTGTTCTATGAACACATTAAGATGCTGCATGTAATCAAGATCCTACTAGTGTTTGCTGCTGATGATATAAGCACTTGTGCATACACAGAAAAGGAGTTACTCGGTGTATGTACAAGTGCTTATAAGATGCTCCTGAAGCTGCCTCTAAAATACAGTGTAAATTTGAATAGGTGATTACTTAGTATGCAAGCATGTATTTGGTTTGATCTCGTGTATTTTGGAGGTGCATACAATCTTTGGTTTTAGCATGTGTTAAAGAGCTACCTCTGTTTCTATGCAAAAGAAAAAAAAAGCTGTCAGAAAACAACTACATTTTCTTTTATTTTTGTACTACAATAGGTCATCTTAAAAACTGCATTTGCTAACCTGCAGCTGGATATCCTCAGTGTTAAGTCAGTAGCACATTGTGAAATTCTGCCTTTGAGCAATGATCATAATCCTTCGAGCCGTGTGGCCTAGACAAATTTTCTCCCAAGTTATAGTACACTTTACTAAATTAGTAACTACGGACCTGATACAAGGGTGCTATGAAAGTTGCTGTTGTGGCCGTTCTGAAGTCAAGACAAGTATTAACTGCTCCCCCTCATTCACAGAACCACATAGAAAGTAGTCAGGTTGGTCAGACCTGATTTGCCTTTGGTAAATCCGTGCTTGCTATTCCCAGTCACCCCTTTTTTCATATGCTTGGAAATGGCTTTCTGGAGAAGATCTCTGTAATCTTTTCGGGGCTTGTGGTTAGGCTGAACTAATGGAAAGTCTTTATGTCAGCTAACTTTTGTCTTTTATGTTTTCTGGGAACTGGGAAAGTTGGGAGTAATGCTGCTCATGTTCCTGGAGGGGGGAAAAAAAGTGTTTTTATTTTCCTTAAGCCTGTAAATTGCAGTATTTCACTATTCAGTGCTTCTTTTGTCGGCATGAAATTTGGGCAGCAATTAAAATTGATTGTAATGTAAGCAACTAAGTCTAACAAGCTACCTCTCATTCTGTGTGCTTTTCGACTCTTTAATCTGCTTATGTCAATATAAACATTCAGGAGGGTTATGTCTGAATGACAGTGTAAATGCTCATAGTGAAGAATGTGTGTTTTACGGAGTCCAAAGGCTGACTTGCATTTACTGATGCCCCATTAGCAATGTGTACTTCCTGAATGTGTAAATGAGGTAGTTCTGATTACACCTGGGCAGCCTTTTTTTGCGTGTGAACAAAAAGTCCTTTTTTATTGTTTGCGAGGTTATTTTTTACTACTGTGAATAGTGTAGTCAGAAAAAGCTAGTGCTGTCTTGACTAGTCTCATCTTCTAACTAGATGGGATTCACAGGGCATGTGGTGAACAAGTCAACTCTTATGATAGCTGGACAGTTCAACCAGAGTTAAATAATTTAAGTCATCAGCAGGGAGAGGGATGGT